CCCCCTCCCGCCCCCGCTGCTGCAGGCCGCCCGAAGCCAACTCGCCGCGGGGAAGGTTGCGCGCGCAACAAGAAGAGAGCAAGGTCTTTAGCGCCGGGGCGCGCCGTGCCCGACCCCGGGATTTTAACCTTTTTAACAAGGCGGGGGGGAGAGGAGAGAGCGGAGGCCTCGGCCCTCGGCGAACGCAGACCACAGGCTTTTCCGCAGCGCGGAGATTCACCAGGACCACGTCCGGGCCCTCTGGCTCTCGGCCATGGTTAGGGTTGGAAGCCCTGTAGAGTTTCCGGAAAGTTTCGGGAAAATTTTCGGAAAAAATTGAAAATTTCCCAGACTTACGAAGTTTTTTTGTTGTTATCCGGAAAATGTCAGGAATTTTTCAGAATTTTTTTCGGAAATTATTTGAAATTAGCCATGGTAGCCTCCCCTCCCCAAGGCCCCCGTCCTCACCGTCAGTGCCGTGCTCCAGCCAGCGCCGAACGGTGGCGTCCACGTTCTGGTAGCTCTTGCGGTCGTGCACGTAGTACAGGGGCGCGGGGTAGTCAGCCTCCTGGGGGGAGCGCTCCGGGGTGCGGAAGTCGTAGGTCATGAGGTGGATCTGGTCGAGCAGGGGCGCCAGCACGCGGTAGTCGTAGTACACTGCGGAGAAAACGGACAAGAAAACAGAAATGAGAACACAACAAAAAAGCGAGAGAGAGAGGGAGGGATGGAACACAAAGTGGTTATGAATTCGGATCCAAGGGAATGGCACGCTGTTGCATGCTTGATGGGGGTCTTCTAGGGGCTGCGGCGGGCGGTGTGGCTTAGACTCGGGGGAGCGGGGCCGACCGCGGGGCTGGAGCCATGTATTATGCATAGGCTGTCCTGTCCGGGACCTGGGCGGGACCCCTCCCCGGTGCAGTGCCTGTGCCTGTCCTCGTCCCCCGCACGGCGGCGGCGGCGGCCCGGCTCTGGGGGTGGGAGCGAGAGTGGGACTGCTACCCCTGCGGCCTGCGGCGGAGGCGGAGGCGGCGGCGGCCCCCACCAAAGCAAAGCCACACTCGGCATCAACACCTGTTCCAGATCGCTTTCGCAGCGGGCGCGGCGGCCCCGCCGTTGGGGGGTTCGCTCGGGACGCGGGGGAGCAGGGGGGGTGGGCGTCAAATAAATCCTTTTAGAAAATCCTCGCTTCGACCCCGTGGCACCCCGCGCCCTCTCTCCCCGTTGGCAGTGATTCGCCACGGGTCATCAGGGGCCGCGGGGGGGTTAATGGGCCGGCCTTGGCTGCGGCGTCACTCGCGGCGCCCTGCGGTGCCACTCCAAGGGCGTCCGTCCGTCCGTCCGCCGGCTGCCCCGGCCGGCCCCGGGCCCCGCGGGGTCACGGCCAGGGGGCTCGCGCCCGGCAGGAGAGAGGCCCGGGGTCGCCCGCAGAAGGGGCGCACAGCCTCCCTCAAGTTTCCCCTGCCCGCCTAAAGCCGCGCTGGTTAGCCCAAACTTGGCGGCTGCCTGCGGTCTCGATCGGATTCCGTCGTCGTCGCGAGAGACGGGGAGAGTACCCCTCCCCCCTCCCAATCCGATCCTACACGAGCGCTCGGTGGGAGGGGTGATGTCGTACGTCGTCGGCGTCCTTACCGGTGCTGTTGACGTGGGGGATGACGGCGGCGGTGAGCATGAGCCCGTCCCCGCGCAGGGCAGCCTTGAGCTCGCGCACCAGGGAGGTGAAGCCGTCGCGGTGCTCCTCCTCCTTCTCGTCCTTGGAGCCGCTCGAGAACGTCTTCTTGATCTTGTGCCACACGCTGCCTGCAAAGGAAGGGGTTGAAGGTGAGCAGGGGTGAGCGACCGGGACATACGCAGCACGAGCACGAGCACCGGGCTCGGGGAACACTACTTGGACGTACCGAGGGTGCCGCGTTCCTTCTTCTCCTTGAGGACGGGGAACTGCCATGCGAGATCCAGGCCGTCAAAGTTGTGGTGCTTGAGCAGCTGCTTGGCCGAGTTGACGAACTCGAGGCGCTTCTCTGGGGTCTCGAGCAGCGTCAGGTACTTGTCCTTCTCGCCGGCCGAGTCGGCGCCGCCGCCAACGGACAGCAACACGCGAAGGCCTGCGGGCGAAAAATATCTTAGGTGGCTGAAAATATTTTACATTTTTTGCGATGTTTTCTGGAAAAGTTTTATTTTTTCCGAAAAATTTCGGACTCTGCGATGGTCTTACTCACCAGGGTGGCGGGCCTTCAACGAGGTGATGAGGCGGTAGTAGCCCTTGTTGGTGTCCAGGTCGACGTAGTCGTCCATGGGCGTGAGGCGGTTGGTGTTGCCGTCAACCACGGCATAGCCGTAAATCAGATGCGTGCACAGCGACAAGGACGGCTCCAAGTCCACCGGCTCGATCTTAGCAGCGCCTGGAACAACAACATATTTTTATTTTCTTTCGTTGTCAACTCATATTGCATCTTGCAAAACTCGATGGACAAGTTCGAATGATCAGGCTTGGCTTTCCCTAAGGCAGAGAGCAAAATCAGTTTCAAGGAGAGCGGGTGTCTTGCTCGTTGCGTCCTACGTGACAGAGGGGAGGAGAGGGGGGAGAGAGGGGGAGGTTTGGGTCCACCGTCCACCTCTCTCTCTAACCCCTCGGTCCATTAGGCTTACACCGGCTTAGCACTCGATCCTCATGTGTCACACCGACATGCTATGTGTGTATAGAAATACGTGTGTGTGTGTGTGTGTGTGTGTGTGTGTGTCACCAGCTCCGCCGGTCTTAAACCGGCCCTCCCTGCCAGCCTCAACCCCTCGTTACGTGTTATTAACTTACGGGGCCGCACGACGACGGCCAGCCCCGGTGACGTCACACCACTGCCCACCATCATGATGTTCGTGATGGTGGTGGTGGTGGCGGCGGCGGGCGGTGCCACCCGGTGCCACCTGCCACTCCCTGCTCAGCCTGCCCAGCCCCATCCCGCCGGCCGTCTTGACCCCTGTTTGCCCGTCCGTCAGCGTCAGGCTTGTCGTCGTGGTGTGAGGTGTGTGGACGTGCAATCTGGCCGCCGCGTGTCAATATCCCCCGTGCAAAAATAGATAACGTGGGGATCCACCAAAAAAAAATGTGTATGTCCAAAGGATCAGCCACAAAACGGTCAAAGCGGCATCATATATACGTCTGCTTGTAACGCATTGTCGCATTAACCCAGGTGCAACACAACTGTCAAAAATGAGTCAAAAACTCTCTTTTGACGTCAAACTTAGCTCAATCGGGCTACCTAGCCACAGTAAATGTTGACGGTAAGCGTCAAAGGGAGGTCATTTTTACATAATTTTGACGTTAAACGTGTTCTACGTGGCTCGTGTGACTTGTAATAACATTTTCCTATCCGCTCCGCTTGGACTGCAGCAGCTCAACTCCTCGACTGTACGAATATCACGCGACTCGCGAGGGCCCTGTCATCCTTCTCATTGTTGTGTGAGTGTGAGTAGGTGTTGTACACTCCGAGACAACAAAACTCCCCGTCATGGGAGCGGACCGGCAAGCCTTCCTTCTCCGACGACTAGAGGTGGCGCACCTGAGCTGAGCACCAGCAGAGTCCGCACGCGTTCAGCCTTATCCAGCCTTACAGCCGAGGTGCCACGGTGCTTACCGCCCTGGCGGCCGCCTAGTGCCTGTGCGGTGGGCGGGGCCGGATAGCTGTCGGTGTATTATTTTGAGAGGTGTCTTCGGCTCTATTAGCATGTCTTAGAACGTGTGCTCGCCGCCGCCCGGGAAGATTCCACGCACTCACTCACACACGGACAAGCTCGCTCTCTCCCTCTCTCACATATGGGCGTGTTCTCCAGCTCAAGTTCAAGGTCAAGAAGACGACCAAAACAGACAGTCGTCGGCCGCCGGCTAAGCGCACCATCTTCTTCTTCGGCTCCGGCTGCTCGCGCCGGGCGCGCCCAAATAAGCCATTCAAAAGCCGTCTCACGGTCGGCCGGGCGCGGCTCCTGGTGGCTCTAGGGCGACGACGACGCGGCCGGTGACGTCAGGCGCGCGCTCTACCTGGCTCGACAATAATGTAGTCGTTCCCTTTTCGGAGCTCCTCTCGACGTTTGTGAGCAATTAACATTATTCCAGTGTGTGTGAGTGAGTGTGTGTGTGACTGGCTGACAATGGCTTTGATGTCTCGCGTCTCCGCCCCCCTCGCCGCCGCGCCGCCGCGGAGGGCCGCCCCGCCTCATCCACGTGTTCTCTCCATGGAGGCATCGCCCTCGACGAGCTGCTTCTGCTCCCCCGCGACGACAACTTGGCGCACGCGCCGGCGGAGTGAACACGTGTCGACGGCGTCCTCCGCGCGGAGCACTACAAGATGAGCGCGAGCGCCGAGCCACACGCGCAGCAGCGGCCGCCGCGGGCGAGCAACGCGCGCGGCGGAGTTCAAAGTTCGCGCCATAAGGAATACATAAATAATCCAAGGGCGGCTGGCAGCATCAGCGGGAGGAGGCGGGAGGAGCGATAGTCTCGTCGATGGTCATGTCGATAGATATCGAACAGCGCGGGGCCAGTTGTTCGTGCCGGGGGCAATTACCAGACGCGCCCGCGCCTGGACCGCGCCGGCGACATGGCGGAGCTGTTTGTCCAAGTGAAATAGCCTGAGGCCAGCGGTGTTTGCTATCACTTCGTCATCACTTCGCGCCCCGGCGTGCACTTATCGGGGCGGGAGGGTCAGAATGACGAGCGGGGCGGGACGACGGGACGATCGGGCGAGCGAGCGAGCGGAGAGCGAGCAACGTTTTTCAAGGAGGAAAGAACAAAGCGATGCTGATTTGCGTGGGTGTTAAGTAAGTAAGTTGGTTTCGTCTCGCCGTTTCGCGTCATTGTTCCATTACTTTTCAGGCAATAAAAGCACTTGTCACTTACGAATTTTCTTTTTCATCAGAATTTAAATTCCTTTAAGAGTTCTGGAGCACTTTCATCCTTATAAGAATTTTTCACGTTTTTCACTTGAAGAAGTAAATTAGATACAAGTGATAGTTGATAACGATTCCACCCGCATCAAGTGTAGTAGTGTGTGACAGTTTTTCTTTGTGCTACCATGCATCCCATTACATGTTCAGTGACATTAGAATTGGTTCTTAAATCACTATTGTGTTCTTTCAAACAAAATTTGCCTTACCTTCTCTCCAGTAGGCGCGGGAGTCGTAGTAGCAGACCACCTTGTTGGCGGCCCAGGCGGGGGCCACCGCCGCGCACAGGGCGGCCACGACGAGGGCGAGCTTCATGGTGGACCGATCGGGCGATGCGTGTTTCGCGAATCGCCGCCGACTACTAAACGAACCCGAGAGAGTCTCCGAGCTCAGCAGCAGCGGACCCGTCAAGTCGCCACGCCACGCCGCGCCACGCCACGGCCGTGGGTCCGGTCGCGGGTAAGAGACAGAGAGACAGAACAGGGAGAGAGAGAGGGAGGGGTGAGCCGGGCGACAGACTATTTGTTGTCTCACCACGTCTCTTCTCCCCCCACCTCTCCCTTCGTCGACGTTATGGTTCTTCAGCTTGTCATAAATCACATGTGTACCTTGCTGGACCCCCCGCTGAAATGGGAGGGGGCCGAGGGGGAAGTCCAAGCCACCTCCTGGCACCGACCGGCCGGCACATATCTCCTTCTCACCCCCCTCCTCCCTCCCTCTCCCTCTATCTCCCCCTCTGCAACAAGTAGCATGTACAGTACACTGCTGCGCTGCAGCTACGCGGAACCACCTTTAGGATCCTTTTGTATTCATGAAAGCCTCCTCGCACCGGCGCCGTCCTTGCGCTTCGCCTCCATGACGGGTGTGAAAACCGAGTTGAAGTACAATTTCGTTCGCGTTTCGCCGATAATGTCACTACTCCCCCCCCCCCCTTGCCCCCTCTCTCTCCCACTCGCGCGCGCTGTGCGCTTATCTGGATGGGGAGGATAACCTAAAAGTTTTTCGGCATCTGGCACATTTCGAGGAAATGTCGAAGTTTAACGATGACCCGCCTGACCCCCGTCAGCCAGGCGCGGACCTCGGCGCGGTGACGGCTCCGCGGACGTCGTCGGGCAGGGCTGTGTGTGGTTGGCGGCCAGGCGCGCGGTGCGGCTGGGAAACGTCGAAAAATATTGCTTTGAAATGTGAGCATCTCTGCTTCTAGGAGTGTGTTTCAGCAGCGCCAGTTGGCGCGGGGCGCCTTGATATAAAGAGGGACGCTCCTGCTCCCATGGCGCCGCCGCCTGGAGGAGCGGGAGGAGCCCTCCAGCAGCCCGCTAACGCCGCTAACGGGCCGCGAGGAGAGAACAGATGTGTGCCGATTAATTCCGGATCCACTAATAGGCGGCGGGGATCGGTCTCTGTCAGCAGCGGGGCGCGGAAACAGAGCGAGAACAAAACTCTCTGCGCGAGGAACGAGTCAGAGAGAGGGAGGGAGACGGCGAGCGAGGGAGATAGAGAGAGAGCGAGAATGGGGGGAGATGTGAGGTAGCACGGCAGGATCAGTGCGTGAGGGAGGACCGAGGTGGGGTGCTGCTGGGGCCAACCTAATAGTCTTAGGGGAAGGGTGGGGGTGTGATGGATGTGTCCGCCACGCCACGCCAGGCCACGCCAGGCCCGGGCCGGGGGTCCTAGTCGAACTGGACTTTGCAAAGGTCAGTCACATGATGGCGAGTCCACTGCCCCGTGACCGTCCGTCCGTCCGCTCGCCTCCGCCCACCGCCCTTCCTCCTCCCCCGCGCCTAGTACTATACTCTCATTTTGTCTTCTCACTCTGCGCTGAGCTCTCACTCCACCCCCTGCCCCTCGCCCTCACCCGCGCCATTTAAACCCCCCAGAGGGTGAGGGAGGCGGGTGTACGGGGGGCGAGGTGAGGGGGCGCCCTTGGTGTACGTTAGTCGGGTCTGGAGCTCTAGCAGCCCCTGCGAGCCGCCGCAACAGATTTGGTGTAGGCAGGCCACAGAGGGAGGGAGCGAGCTAGAAGGGGTGAGAGGGGGAGGGAGAGGGGGTGCTGTACACCGACCGTGTGGTCACTGTTATTCACTAGGTTCACCTCTCCCTAACCACCATCTTCTCTATCCTACTCACACACCCTGTTTGATTCGTATCTAAAGGCTTCAGGTGAGTAGAATACATGAATTGAGTACGACCATCATGACACTTCACAGCAATAACTCATTCCAGGATCCCCCAATTTACCATCACCATATGTCACTAATCTCTCTTTCTCAGTCTCTCTCTATCGCTCTATGTTGTTTTATGTCTGTTTTGCCATCTGTGTCAAACGGTCACGGTCTGCTGTCTGCTATCGCAGCCCAGATTCTTTATTGTGCCGCGACAGCGCTTCGTGCATATACCAGCTTAACCAGACCTGAAAATAGGAAAGGAAGGAAGAAGAGGGCTCTAAAGACCTGACAGGGAACTCGTCTGGCGTGCGGCGCCCCCCTCGGGAACGGTGCAAAAAGCGTTGCGTCCTCTGGAAGCCGTTAGCCGAGACAATCGCCGCCAGGAGGACGTTGGTCGAATCGCGAAGAGGAGAGGGAAAGAAGAGAAATCGAAGTGGATTCGACTTTAATTTCAAGAGGCGCGCGCGCGACAGAAAAGCACAGTCAAATGGGAAGAAGAAATAAAAAGAGAGGGCACTCGCACCGAAAACAAAAGAGAAGAGAAGGATGTGGTTCGAGCCGGTTCTATGGTAGTGGGAGAGAGCTCGTCGGCGGGGCGGCGGTCCAAGCCATGCTGTAGGCACACTAATTCCGACTGGAGAAGAAGGGGCTCTGGCCGAGCAAACTCGCCAAAAGAAGATTGACGTAGAAAAAAAATCAGCCTTTCAGGGCGAGGAACAGCGTCACACCAAGCTAAGTATATTTTTACATTTAAAACAACCCAATGACCGGTCGCCCGCTCTGCGCTGGATAGCTAGGAGGGAAGGAGAGG